TATATATATATATATATATATATATATATATATAAGTTGTTCTATAATTGCGCTATAATTATCATTCTTTCCTTTAAGAGAATAGTACCGATCGAATATAAGAAAGCATATTTATCGAGCAATCGAAATGAGGAGAGCAATAGTTTTTTGTCTGCCACTCACAGTAATGTAACGCGTATAAATAACTTTTCAATTTTACGAAAATTGGACGGGAGTCGGGGAGGAGTAACGTCGCGACTTTGTCGAGCGTGCTACATGAAAATGTATTTTCTAAAGCGGAACGGTTCCTCTCTCGGGAGTGCTCTCGTCACGCCCGAAAGGGCCTGTGCAAACGGTTTAACGGAGTGACGCCGTAAGAGTGTGACTTAACACCGCGACGCCTTGACGAAAGAGACGAGGGCAGGAGAGGGAGGGAGGGGTCGCAGGAGGTCGGCGGGTGAAGGGAGATGAAGGGATTCGCAATGTAACGAGCGCGAGAAGAAGAGAGGAAGGGAGGGGGGGGGGGAGGGAGGTGCACTCTCTCATAGTAACGTGCCGATGGAATGACAAGCAGCGGCGGTTGAATCTTTAATCTCTCGCGACGCGAGATATTAAAGTTTCTCGAGGGCTCGGCAACTACTTGGCCCGCGCCGCGCTGAAATGGGGTTTAAGTTCGATAGACAGCGGTGCGGGGGTGCTTTTCACGGGGCGATATCGATGGTCGGTCGTCTTTTAATGCATAAATAAAAAGACCAACGCGATGGCGCACCGATTACCTCCTGCCATCGGTCGGTTCTCTCTCCTCCGTGTATTTATCTATCCGCTCGCTCTCCACAAACCTCATCCGCTTATCGTGGCGAAGTAGAGACCCTTATTACGCTCATTACGATCGAGAATTCGAAATAGAGTTTGCGTGCGTGATCTTGTCGTGAGAGGCCCTTTAAGAGAGATTACGTGCGGAATCAGGTTTGTTGGAAAAAAGATGCGCTGCGGGGATACATGAAAATTAATTATATAATTATAAATAATACTGCCTGTTTCTAATTCACATGTAACGTACAAATACATTTTAATAAGTTATTTAATTATTTTGCTTATAATGAATTTGTTTATTGGCGCGAGTATTAAGATATAATAATCATTCGCGATATCAAATTAATAACACAAAATCATTAAAAAAAATTCTGCAGCGAAATTTTTAAGATTATTTTCATACGTAGATGTTTGAGAATTTTATTTTAGTTATTGTCTAGGAGGAGAGAGAGAGAGAGAGAAAGAGAAAGGCATCTCTCGCATACCGTATGTAATGATAATTTCCATGATAGACGAGCGATCGTTGGAATGCAAACAAACCATGTTCAAGCATCGAGTTTTTCCCCTCTTTCGCATCCTTCCTATGTTTGGTATCTCTGCGCGCGTGTGCCTTCAAGTCTGGTTCACACGCGAGCCTCGTGCAGGTTTTGCCATGCACCTTGACACTGAGGAGCTTTTACGAGCACCTTTGACTTTCACAAGTTGTGATTATCAGCATAATCGTCTTAACCTTCGAACGGACTACTCATTTTTCGCAGAGCGGCGAGACATCGTAAAACTTTATATTAGTACCGTTCGTAATATTGAGACATTCGATAATATGCAATATAAATATGCAATACCGTTAAGTTAAATATATATATATACTTCAATATTAGAATAGTACCAATAAAGAGCGAGAGAAAGATAGAGAAAACTCTCCACGAGCGGTTAAAAGTTTAGGAATTTAAAGAATTTTTCTGATAAATTCTTCATTGAAAGATTCGCGAATATTAAATCAGGATAATAAGATATATCGTACTTGAAATTTCTTTGCAAGATTTAAATTCAACGTAATTTTCGATTCAACGAGATACATTCTATTTTTTTCGCAACAGGATACAGGTCATTTCCGTTTCCCGAGAGAAACGTTGCCCGAGTTTTGCTGTGCCGAGGAATTCTCCAGCCGCGTCTTGCCTGCATAAAAAATCCGTGGAGCGATGGGCGCGATAAGTCGCGTGAGACCGCGTTAAAATTCACAAGGGCCTCGGAGTTCGCCCTCTCGTTGTGAGCGGGCCCGTACGTTCTCCGTACGTTTCACTGTCCTTGTCGGCAGTCAAGGTCATGGTCGTCCGCGCGCCCGATGCCTCCGCGGCACTCCGGCATCCAATGGGAATCGGATTTCCCATAAACGGCCACGTGCTGCTTGTTCGCTGCTGGCACGATTCACGATGCGAGCGTGTCCGATTCCACGACGAATGTCGTGCAACTAGTTTCCCTGGTTCTGGCCTGGTACACCAGCCTGGCCTTACCTTGCTGTTTACACGCGACCGTGCGTACAGTCCCTCCAGCGCTCTGGAAATTCAACATCAGGGACGTTTCCACGGATGCAAACGTGTGTCGCCCGTGTTTAACCATGTTCCCATGGTTCTGCGCGGATGTAATGCAAGGAGCTCGCTTTCACTCCGTGTGTATTTCATACCGGACATTGTTATCGCGTTAAAGATAACGCATCGAGCATACTGCGAGAGCGTCCCGCGAGGCGAGTATTAAAATTGATCGCGATTCTGCTTCATGAGGCTGAAAATGGATTGAAAAAAAAGAAGAAAAATAGTCTCGTCGCAATAAAACGCCGTTGCAAAGAATATCGAACATATGCGCGATATGTCCTTTCATTAAAAGTAATGCGTGTACACGTGCATCATTGATGTTGCTTTGCAACGTACAAACTGCTCCGCATCGGAGTTTAATTCTTCTTACGAGCGATCGATTCCTTTATCGGCAATTATTGGAACACCCACGTACGCATATTTTATACCAAGCCATTACCACCGTGCGCATCATTTTATCCCGAATTACCGTAGAATTAATATAGTCATAAATCTACTATTACGAGCGCGGCGCGAAAAAATGCGCGAGAAACTCGGCGTTTTTCACTGTCGCGATAATGAAACCGAATGCATTATATCGAATGACTCAATTGACGCGAGGAAAGATAAACCCTTGATTTCCGCGCATTGAAACCTCGCCCTTAAACGGATCTCGATTCGTCTCGACGGTATTCGATTTTGTGATCGTAATAACATCGCAAGCACTTAAGACAGCCGGCCAACTATTGACGATTTGTCTCGCGTAAAATGACTTCCGATCTGCGAATTTCGCCAACCGTTTACCATTCGAAGCTTCTTATAAATGAAGTATGATTATTTATGATTTCTTTTCTAACTTAAATAATAGGACGATTTATCTCTGTAGGAAAAGAACAATTTTTGTTGAAAGACTTAAAAATTTGGCTAAATATCAATTTGAAAAATAATCTTGTTACCATTAAAATATGTAAGACAAGTATGATGATAATACTGCAAAATTTTTTATATTTTTACAATCAATTTGTAGTTGTAAATTTGAACGAAAAATAGTGCATATAGTCGTCAATTTTTAGAATTCGTTTAAAGCTCCTCCTACTAGTTCTCTACATCTTGAATTATGACGTCGAAGAAAGAAAATACACCCAAATTTCTACAAAATAAATTAAAATAGAAATGTTTTTCGATAGAATAAAATAACATTTTTACTCGATAAAATAGACTTGTAAAATATACCGAAAACTCTTCTTTTACTTCGTACTTAATTAATAAATAGTCATATTATTTAGAATTAAATTGCAGCTCTCTTCTTGATTTAGCACAATTCATTTTTTAATTATATAGTTATTTATTGATTACTGGAGCAAAAGGAGAATTTCGATATGACAAGTCTATTTTACCAAGCCCAAATGTTATCTCATCGAGAAACATTTCTCTCATTTTAATATATTTTGCAAGAATTTTCATTGTCGTTGTTTTCTCGCTTCTGACATAATTTAAGATGATTGCAATGAACCAGCAGAAATTTTAAGATAAGAAGAAATTTTACGATAGAGTAAATTTGGAGAAATAAATTTACTTTACTGTATGACACAGATTTTCTTCCTGAATTTTGGAACTTCTTAGGACTTCCGAGACGATGTACGTATTGACGAAAGTTTATCTCCGATCGGAAAACGTACGCTCTCGATTCGAGTCGGGTGCGAGCCCATTGTTGTCAATTGTGACAGCTTATCGTCCCGGAGCGGGACACGATAAGGCGATACAATCGGATAAATGGCGGCCGAGCTCCTCCGTCGGGAAGGCTTCTGAAGTCCGGGGGTTGCCGCGATACACGGATGAACCAGTGCAGTGCACGGCGATCAAAGAGTTGAGATCTCCCGCGTATCCGTTCTCACGGGAGAACCGACTGACACTCGATCGCGCCTCTGGAAATCTCGCGTGAAGATTGTCGGATGCACGCGAGCGCGCGGTCAAACACGCGACCACGTCCACGCCGCTAATCTGCTATGCGTGACGCGATACCGAAACCGCCGTTTCTTTTATAAATGAATTCTCCCGATTCTGCGGGATGCTGCTACGGCCGTTCTTTCGACTCGAGCCGAGTTCTGTCTCGATTGCAATCCGAGGAATCTTGAACGTTCGATCTTCGGAATCTTTATTCCGAGAAAGGGGCCCAGGTCTACATATCTCTCGTTCCAGTTTTTACAGTCTAAAAGGAAAATGTTTTATATCATATATAATTTTTAGAAGACGAGATTTTTATAGCTCGTGTATCGACAGACAAGAATATTTTATCATCGTGAAGAATTTAAATTTCATAAAATTAAATGAATACGGTAATTATCGTTGAATTGAGATACCTGAATAAATTAAATTATACATGCTACAAAAATTGCAATGAGGCTAATGACTATCGTGAGTGCACGAGGTGACCTTGGCCTTGACCACGAACCAGCTTCGTGGATTGCGAATCGCCGGCGTCGCTGTCATGGTAGCGGCCGGGGCGCCAGCTTATCTGCTCAAACACATCGAATCTGGAGCGCGCTAACTAATTACCGGCTTTTCCATGAGTCAGGCTGAGGCCGGTAATTGCATGCCCGTCGCGCTATCGACGGTGATTCTCCCCCGGGAACGCAGCCGCAGCCCCGCTGTTGCGCTCGGATCAAGGTATGCACATTCGTCCTTGTCATTCAGACTTCCTTTTTGGCATCTGTTTTCTTTTAAGTACGTCGATCGTTTTTGCACACAATCTTCGCAAACATGTTTGCTCCGTGAGCTCATTAATCTACCTCTCATTATTATCCATTATTATCTAAAATATGCAAATATTTATTTGCGTCTATCATCGTGTGGTGCTCCTTTTTAATCAATGGACTTTTTAAAACGCTTTCTCTCTATCCATATTTTTTTTTAAGAAAATATTATGTTTATCACTTAATGTCTTACGAGAGAACCTGCTGTAAAAGCTATTGTATCTTAGAATTGAAATATCTTGTGAAAATACTTCTAGTAGATCAACATCTTGTCATTCACATGAAAGAATTACATGACAAGTGATGGATTGAGAAAGCCATTACGAGATTTGATCTAAATTTTTTGCCTTTCCATGTTAGGTTTCTGAGGAATGCAATATTACCGCCCGAGCTTTAAGCTTTAGATTTATATTATCGCTCTTTTTTGTCCCTTCTAGACAAAGAAATCGTTTTATGTTTACAAACATTGTATTTTAATTTGAGATAATTAATTTTAATTGCTTTAATATTTTTCACATTCCCAGCATCAAAAAATTTATATTTGATGTCCAGTAATACCATAATTTCAAGCTTAATTTGACATATATAGATTATGTCTTCGTCAATGTAAGATTAAGCGTTTCTTTAGAGCTTAAGAAAAAAAAACTTCCAACGTTTACATAAATATTTTTCATTAGTCGACGAGAAAAATTTTGCACGAAGAACAAATCATTAATTTCACGTTCTTCAAAGGTAAATGATAACATAAATGAATAATTCAACTCGTCTGCCTCTCGTATAGAAGGAAAAGTGACGCCGTTTCGTGAGATGCTATTGGATAGCGTTGTCCAGACGGATTATCCGCGGCAAATTTATCCGTAACTAGAGTATCGCCGGAAATCCTATAAGCCAGCGACTCAGCGCCTTCGGATATTTGTCGATCCAATGCGCACTTCCAAATCCGGCAGAGGGTACGCATCTGACCCACTTATAGCGGCATCGCTGATCGGATTATTCGAATCTTCTCGTTTAAAAACATTAAGATCGCAGTCAGCGAATAGTTAGGCCGGCTAACAACGTGAAGAAAGGCAAAAACGTACTTTCTCTGGACTTCAACCGACATTTAAATGAGTTTTTTCTTTTTTTTTTAAAGTACGCTTGATAATTTTACGTAACGTTTCTCAGAAATCTCGCTTTGATTTCTTGAAAATCGTGGGACTCTGACATTTCCATCATAACCACTGAATAAAGTGATTTCGGCCTGGCTGTATGTCGATTTGCGTGCAAAATATACATTATATTAGAGACAATAAATTTGGATTAAATTTATAAATTCTCAACAGTGCCTCGCGATACATTCTCTCAGAATTTACTACATTAGATTAATTTTAATTATCTCGATATTAATTAATTATCATCTTCGTAAAAAGGAATCACGAATATTTGGATATTTTATTATATTTATCTCATTTGTACAGAGCGGCGAGTAATAACGATTTTAATCGAGGATTTCTTAATGTACTAAGAATACATACGTTGAAGGCATTTTCTCGCTATGTGTTTCTATTAAAATATGGAGGACTACGTCGTTCTGGCGAAACGACGGCGCGCAATACGCGGGTGGTAACGCAACCCGTTAATATCGATTCATCGAGAACGCACGCATAACTCTCCTCTCTCCCGCACACGCATTCCCACGCGCATTCCTGCATTTTATAGCCGGCGGTCTCCCGATGTTGTAGCCTAACGGCCGCAGCACGAGGAGTATGTTGAACCGTGGCAAAGTTGTTACGTGGACGTTATGTATTTATGTTAATGAACTCTCGGGACGCGATCAAACGCCGATCGTTCGCGCGTGGGTTCGCTGCGAGAGGTCCTCGTGCGAGACGTAGGAATCCGCTTCTCTCCGCCTGGCAGGCACCATGTGACACGTGACACCCCGAATGCGTCTTCCGCCGTAAACGGATCAAGTCGGATATGTCGATTCGTCAACTTGAGCCTGATCGCGATCGGGCGCTTTCGTGCGCTTTCAACGAACGTCCATCATCGGCCGTCTTTGCTCGCTCGGTTGAGTTAAGCTCAAGTTTCGTTCACGCGTCGACTGATCTAGATTACGAGCGGACACTCGTCACGCTTGAACATTTATACGATACGCGCACGGATTTTCTGCTAAATAAGAATTAGACTTTACTGTATCAACCAGAAATGTTTCTTTAAACCCTTACGTCGTTGCAGATTTCTCACAATTGACTAATGCAAATTTTATAACTATTATTTAATTATGTCATATTTTTATTATTCTAATTAGTATTTGTTCTTTATCTGTTACAGGTATGTGCTTGACGATCTTGGTGCCATAAACTAGTCAACCTGTATCGTAAGAATGTCATTTATTAATTTTTTTAGTGATTATATAAATTTTTTTTAATTTTATATAAATAAAAGATTTATATTGCATGATTTATTTTATTTTGGAATTTATTTTAGAATTTCTGATGAAATATTATCTAAAGATATTGCATATGGGATATATAATCTTCAATCAATTTATAATCTTATTTATTAGTTGACTTTAAACAAGTCGGTTTTAATATTAAAGCAATTTAAGATTTATATTCATTTACCTAAAACTCTTTAATTTCTCATATATTTTAATTATTTTAATGAAACAATATTATACTAATATATTAATATATTAACGACTATTTACAAGTCACGTTCTTTCTTTTTAATCGGCATTCCTGTTCAGGACGTGTAGAAATTCAAGAATAACGAGTCACACAGAGAGTAATGTCCTCGAGTGCACGTACGAGAGTGCACTACGCTCAGAATGCAGTTGCATAATATCACAACTGGTCATTCTTGTCTGACACCTTCATTTGTCTTTTCCTTCTTTCCTTTTTGTCTTTTATCCGAACCTCGATTTCATTCCTTGCCTTTACTTATTTCTCTCTCGTCATTTCATTTCACGATGTTATTTAAACAAAGCGACGCAAAATTGTAATGATCGAAAAAATGTCGGTGCTCTCTGTACTTTTATGAAGGTAAATAGATAAATGAATGAGATTACGCTTTATACTGCCAAAATCTCCTTTGAGCCAAACGGTAGAAAATATTTACTATTAATATAATAAACACGTAAAAGGAAAGAAAATACAAAATTGTAAATTTCACGGGCAAATTAATTATTCGCGAACGACATTCTCCCTCTTTTCGTTAAATCTCCCGTTCAACGTTCAATGGACTGCGCTTCGACAGAATAATTATAGAGACTTTCCGTTTCGTAAAGAGAATAATTGCAACGGCACGATCGCTTAGAAATATATCCACTATCGCGCTTTTAATATATACACTATCTCTCGAGATTGGAATGTGCACCGGCAGCTGTTTTAATGCGATTTAAAAATTAACTCGTGTTGACGAGCGAGAGCCATCCGTCCGCTTTGGGAAATTGGAATCCGCGAAATATTATTCTCACTCGCGTTCGCTCGGCGCTCTGACAACCCTCTCCCCCCCCCCCCCGGTCTTATCGCGTAGAAGGCGGCAATAAACGTTTTTAATTACAGCGGAGCGATAGAGCGCTTTGAGACCGCGATGTAAAAAAAGGGGATCGACGAAGAAGCGGACGGTGGAGAGGATGGAATGCGGCGTTTCGCGGGAAATCGCGTATTTTCGTTCTCGCACCCGCACGGGAAATGCACTCTCTCGCGGCGACGTCTGGCGCCGCGACGCTCCGTCGCAATGTACCATGACGAACGAACAAATGTGCCCGATTTATAATTCTCCGCGGTGGAGTGATGCCGCGAAGCGCGAAGCGCGAAATATCCTCCGCGGAATATTATACCTCGCGATACACACCCAAGTGCGTTGATTAAGTTCGAGAGAAGTTTCGAGAGAACTTCGAGCCGCGCGCGAGATCGCGGGGATACGTCGTGCATCCGGCAATAACTGTGTGATTACATAAAATTATATGTTTGTATTAGAGAGAGACAAATAATAGGCGACGCGCCTCTCTGACTACAATCGAGCGCAAATAGGTGAAAAAGTTTCTTCCATCCACTAGCTATCATTTTCTTAAGTATCTTTCTATAAGTTACACCGCGAGTGTTACACCTTGAAATATCTATACGCACGTTGTTTCATAATATCGGATTACTTATAACATAATATATCTAATTTGAAGAATGTAGTAAAATTTTGAAAACAAATGTTTGTCATTTCAAGATTTAATATGTACACAGAGGTTTCTTATTTTGAAGCGATTGCAAAGAGTTCTTTCGCTCGAATATCGATCGACTTGTTGATCGCTTTTAACGAGTTTATCGAGTTTTGATTACCGTTCAATGGAATTTCGCGTCTATGTCGCATAGCGAGATGGACCAACCGAGGAGGTTGACTCCATCTCGCTATGCGACATAAGCGCGAAATTCCATTTTACCGACATATTATGTCGCAATTTCGTCATTGTAAGCGAAAATGGACACCAGTCGTCTTTCAACGTCCGGTCCAGCGGTTCGGCCCTAGCTGCTGCGCCATCGTGAGGCCGGTTCGAATTTCTGGCATCTCTGGTTTCGTCTTAGAACGCCGGCGGAGCCGCTTACTTAGCATATACGGCACGCTGCCACAAAGGATTCCTTTCCAGGAAGATGCCTCGAAAACGGCCGCACGGGTCGTCCTTTTATCCTCCCCGCGCACGTCCGCCTGACCTCGCTTTCTCGTTACCTCATCGCCGAGTATCCTAATTAGGCCTCGCGTATCTTTCCTCGCGAAATATATAATCGCGTATTGCGACACGTGACCAGAAAATGAATCAGGAGGCGGCAAGGAAGAGACGGGGAAAAAAGAAAGAAGAGGAATATTTTTTTCAGATGGAGACAGAGAAAAAATTTGTATAAAAGTAAACAAAGAAACTAAGCTCTAAAAAATAATAAAAAATTTTTTAAATATCTCTATGCGTCCAGTTTTATTAATAAAATATATTCTAGAAAAAAGAGTTGACAAATATTTAAGTTTCTTTATTTTTCTTACGCAATTTATAAAAATAAAATGCAAAAGACTCTTGTTACATTAAGTTGGGATGTTCTTTTACGGAAATTGATAACTAATTATTTACCAAATTGCTTTTGGGGAATGTTAATTTCCTGCGCCTTCTCTCCGTGTTTTTGCACGCCAGAACGCGTTTGCGCGAGCGAGCTGCCGCTTTTATAAGCAGTGTAATTACGATATAATAATAACGGCCGGTGTCGTGGCGCGGCGTTTTGCCGGTGAATCATTGGCGCCGTTCTGCCCGCTCGAAAATTTTCGTTCGCGCATATTACGTAATTAAGCGCGTGGAATGTACGGCGCGATAACAACGATTAATTACGGCAATCCGGACCGCGCGTCGTCCCGCGAAAGGAAACAAGTTAGTTAAGTATACTTACGAATAATAGATTTAAGTAAGAATATTATTAACTTCATTGTTATTGCAGTTATTACATTTGATTTATTATAGACATAAATAAAAATATTTATTCGAGCAGATTGCTTTATTTCAACGGAGAAAACTATGATAATAGAATATGATAATAAATAAAATTTTTTATTGCATATTTATCTTGTAACTTTTTACCTTTAACTCTTCGTAAATCAGAATTATCGTTATATAGTATAAATATTCCAACGGTGTACATTATTTTAACAATACGGTGCCATATACGTGATACTGTCGCATCTTTTGATTTCGCTTCCATTGATCTGCAATCACGATGGCAATTTGTAGCCGAGAAGGATAGAGAAAAGGGATTCATCGGTGCAAACGGGAACAATGGAACGTAGGGCAACGTGATAGCGGGGAATTCCTGCTGAACTCGCGCGCGGAATTGCAAACGATCGTGCGAGTGCGGCCGAATGAGGGCGAGTTCGGTAGGTTTTCTCCTCTCTCTCTCTCTCTCTCCTCTCTC